TCCCCCAAATACTAGTTTTTAAATTTGCCTGAGTTACTGCTTTTGGAGAAACAGAACCAAACACAAGAGCCTGAGAACAGCCACACTCCATCAGGAGTCCATCTGGCCCAATACTCTCTCTCCACTGGCACCTCAGACGTGTCTGAAGGAGAGTGTATGAGGGGTGCAGGCCTCCTGCTGTCGGGGTCCAGGGGCTGTTCATAGGCCTTGGTGCCTGGAACCAGCCTCCCTTGGGACCTGCAGTGCAGTGGCCCCTCAGACTTAAGTCAGGTATTGTCATGAAGAACTATATGCTTAATGTATCATAGCTGTCTGTTCCATTCCATTCCATTCCATTCCATTCCATTCCATTCCATTCCATTCCATTCCATTCCATTGTCTTTTGTTCCAATCCATCCCATCCCTTTGCATTCCATTTCATCCCATTCCATTCCATCCCATTCCATTCCCTCTCATTTTTTTCCATTCCTTTCCATTCCATTCCCGGCACTCAGGATGAGTGTTATAATGATGTGACCACTATTTAGCTGAAACCAAAAGGGGTTTTCAGCACTAAAACCACTTTCAAAGAGAGAAATCAGACACAAATCAGGTTACAGGTGGAAAGGGTAATTAATTTATTTAGAAATAAAGTTATTTTATTTAGTTTAGTTTATTTAATTTTACTCTAGTCTAGATGATATTTTCTTTTTCTAAATCTCTCAGAGCTGACGCTCACAAGCGTTAACCCAATCCCCGTGCATAGCCAGCAGCAGGCTGATGCATCCTTCAGTCTAGCTGGATAAAAACCTCCCTTGCAGCCTGACAAAGGAACAAAGCCAGGACAGGAGCGGTGCCGTGGTGGGGCAAGAGCAGGGCAAGAAAGAGCCGAGCCAGAATGGGCCGGGGAAGACCTGAGAAGGGGGGGTGCTCAATGCAACAGAGAGAAGCAGCAATTCCCAGGACCACGCTGGGGCTACCCTGGGATTGCAGAAGGCTGCCTCCCCCCGGATGCGGGGCATGAGGGCCACCTGCGTGGAGCACGAGCAGCTGCCTTTGGGCTACCAATAACCCAAAGGAGCCCCATGGAGGGGCTGTGCTCGGCTGCGGAGGAGGCCGAAAACCCTGGGGATGCTTGCGAGTCCAGCCTGGGGGCAAAAAAGCCTTCCCCCCCCAGCTGCAGGACACGAGGGGCCACCGTCGTGGAGCATGAGCACCAGGCGATAACACAGAGCACCAGGACCAGAGGAGCCCTGACAAGTGGTCATGCTCAGTGCTCAGAGGAAGCCAAAAAACCCCCGGGGACCGGTGCCAATCTGCCCCGGGGGAAAATTCCTTCCTGACCCCAGTGCTGTCGATCGGCTACTCCCTGAGCACGGGAGCAAGACCTGCTCCCGGTCCACGGGCTGGTTACGCCTCTGAGGGGACAAGGGGACGCTGGCACTGCCTGATCTGCCTCCACCTGGAGCCATCTCAGGGCCTTCCAACAACAGCAAAACGCCGCTGGCCTGATGTAGCCTGGGAGCAAGAACCCTCCCAGCACCTGGTGCTGGAGCTCCAAAGCACTGGCGCAGGGCACGGGGCTTTATAGTGCCCCAGAGCACTGTGATGCTGCATGGCCGGGTGCTGGCACTATGACATGGGGGGTGACGGGACCCTGCAGCCCTGCCCACCGCAGCCCTGCTGCTGCTGCTGCTGCCCCTTCACCCAGCATCCCTTGGAGAAAGGCCTTTGCGGTGCTGGCCCTGAGGCAGCGCCTGTGCCCAGCAGGCCCAGGGGGATGTCCCTGCCCATGGCGGACACACACTGGTGTGTGAGAGTGGCAAACCCAGAAGTGAAAAGGGAGGGAGGGAGGGAAAATAAAGAGGTTTTGGTTCCCTCTGCATGAACTTTCAGAAATGTGGAGATCACACGGGATTTCCTCATCATTCCTTACCAATACACCAAGTGCCAGTTGCTACTACACTGCTTATGGTGCGGTCTTCTTCTTGGAAAGTAGAATTAGTTCAGAAATCTCTTCCACATTTGTTCCACAGGGTGTTTAGATATTTGCTTGTTTATTCACATTCATGTGCTTGTTCTGGGGGCCTTATTTCTTGTATTGCTACTTGAGTGCAACACTTCACTGACTGCTGCCTAACTTCTGTGTTCTTGATAGCTCAATAAAGTGCTTTGATCCCAATTTGGTTTCAACTGGGTGGACTGAGCAGCTTTTCCCTGCAACGCTTACACAAAACAAGGAACTGACTCAGTTGTGTCGAGCAGTTTCCAAACCCCCAGCTAAGCATCACTTAAGGGTACTGTATAGAGGGCAGAGGCTGAGAGATTGGCAACAACTCCCCCAGCACATTTGTCCAAATCCTTGAAACGCAGCATGACCGCCGGTCTCTCTCCCATAGGCTGATTTCTTGAGCGGTCTGGAGTAGGGGGGAAAGGGACAGTCACCGAGTTTCTCATTGGAGATCTTGGTGCAGGCTGCAGAAGGCAGCCCCAGGCAGGTTCCTATCTGAAATGAGGAAATTCTTCTGTTTGTCTGGACAAACTGCTCTTTTCGGCAAAACACCTATGTTTTTCTCATACAGGAGGAGAAAATGCTACTGCCTCTGCCCAGCTCTGGTAGAAAGTGAGCATAATCACCTCTTGGAAACAAGAAGGGAAAAACAATATACACAAACAGAAACACACCCTTCTCTAGCTATTGCTATCTAATCTCTGTCTCTATACCTCTACACCTACATTTACACCTCTATCTCTCTCTACCTATCTCCTGGGTTAGGGCAAATAAATCCTCACACAACAGCAGTACTGGTAAGTGCAATGGAGGGCGTGTGCTGAGGACACTGGTGTGAAACCCCAGAGCTGCAGCCAAGGCAAAGGGAGACAAGATGGACGGAACTGGATTTTAAGATTCTACTTGGGCTTGTACAATGAATTCAACACTGTCCCACACAACATCCTTGGCCCCTAAACTGGAGAGACATCAATCTGATGAATGGACCACTCGGTGGATGAAGAACTGGCTGGATGGCTTCACACATATAGTTGTGGTCAATGGCTCAGTGTTCAGCTGAAGACCTGTAACGAGTGGTGTCCCTCAGTGATCCATGTTGGCACCGGTCTTGTTCAACATCTTTGTCGCTGACATGGACAGTGGGATTGGGTGCGCCCTCAGCAAGTTTTCCAATGACACCAAGCTGTGTGGTTCGGTTGATACGCTGGAGGGAAGGAATGCCATCCAGAGGGACCTTGACACGCTTGTGAGGTGGGCTGATGCCAACCTCATGAAGTTTAACCATGCCAAGTGCAAGGTCCTACACCCAGGTCGGGGCAATCCCAGGCACAGCTACAGGTTGGGCAGAGACGAGATTCAGAGCAGCCCTGCAGAGAAGGACTTGGGGGTGTTGGTTGATGAGAAAATGAACATGAGCCGGCTTCAGTGTGTGCTCACAGCCCAGAAAGCCAACCGTATCCTGGGCTGCGTCAAAAGGAGCATGACCAGCAGGTCGAAGGAGTTGATCCTGCTCTGCTTTTGTGAGACCTCACTTGGAGTATTGTGTGCAGTTCTGGTGTCCTCAACATAAGAAGAACATGGAACTGTTGGAACAAGTCCAGAGGAGGACCACGAGGATGATCAGGGGGCTGGAGCACCTCCCATATGAAGACTGGCTGAGAAAGCTTGGGCTGCTCAGCCTGGAGAAGAGAAGGCTGCGTGGAGACCTCATAGCAGCCTTCCAGTATCTGAAGAGGGCCTATAGGGATGCCAGACAGGGACTGTAGTGATAGGACAAGAGGGTAATGAGTTCACACTTAAACAGGGGAAGTTCAGGTTAGATATAAGGAAGTTCTCCAATGTGACAGTGATGAGGCACTGAAATGGGTTGCCCAGGGAAGTTGTGAATGCTCCATCCCTGGCAGTGTTCAAGGCCAGGTTGGATGGAGTCTTGGATGACATGGTTTAGTGCATGGTGTCCCTGCCCATGGCAGGGGGGTTGGAACTAGATTATCTTAAGGTCCTTTGCAACCCTAACTATTCTATGATTCTGTATTTCACTTGTGTCTACAACTTCTGGTCATCACATATGCAGAGCCTGCTACATGTTAAAAATTAAAAGGCAGGCAAGCAAACCTGCACTTACCAAACAGTTTTCCTCCAGGATAGTAGCTGTAGGTTTTGTTCCACTCCAGCACTCGCATCATGCTACAATTTACTGGATCTAGTTTGTTCCCAAATCTATGCCTGAAACTTTAGAGAGGATCTTGTGTCACCTGTTCAACAGGCCACTGCTACTGAGCTAAAGTATTCTAGCTTCTGAGCACAGTTCAACTGGTCATCAACACACTTCCTGTGCTTTGAAACAATTAATCCAGGTTAATAACTCTAGAGACATCCATTACTGTACTTAAGGCAATAAAACACAGCTGTACTGTGCTTATGCTTACCATGTGCGACAACCAACATTCCGTAAGTAAAGACACCTCCCATCTGTGTACGCAGAATGTTCTGTATTGCTGGATATTATTCTGCATGAATAGCAGAAGTCTAAGTGAGAAAGCACAGCAATTAAATCAACAAGTTGGCTGGGTTTTGTTGGTTTTGTTTTGGTTCTTCTTTCAGAAGAGGCTCCCCAAAAGAATAAATCCTTTTTTTTTAAAAAAAAAGTGGTTCATTTTGAACTCTTTTGCTTTATCTTTCAGGCATCGTCTGCAGTCAGTTCAATCGGGACTCTAACATGGAGACACTGAAAAAAACAGGCCAGTGCAGAAACAACAGCTTGCTTATGGGATCTCTAGTACTAGCACTTAGGATGAATTTTACTCTTAAAAAACACCATCTTTGTTTTCAAGGTAGCTTCTTATTTGCTTATGGCATAAATAATAGAAAACTTGGCAAGTGAGAGAAGTTTTCTGAATTTCCTGCACCCACCCAAGACCAGAAGTAAGAATGTTTTTATTAGACTAAACTGTGCTGCTAAGCTACACTTCTAGCATACAGGAGTAAAGGAAGACAGACATGAACTATGTATGAGATAACTCATTTTATTTATTCAAATCTCAACTTAATTTTGATGCTAAACATTGGTCAAAGGCACTTCAAAGAAGGTATTTAAGAAACAAATCCTTACGGTGAACATTCCTGACAAGTCACCAACTCATACATACCATTAGGGACACGACTAGATATAATTGCAAAGTGAAACATTCACAGGTTTGAAGTAGAGCGTACTGTCCAGCAGCATTATTCAATTCTTTTGGAGCATTAACAACGTTGTGGAATATTTTAAATACAATATTGTAAAACAAAGGAAATTACACTTTTGGAGTTCCACAGAAGCTTTTCTTGACAGAAAAAGGGCAAAACTGCCTTTACAAGTGGTCCTGTACTGAGGGATCTGTTTTCACCCATGCCTGCACTATCAACATCAGTAGCAGGCACATCAGAAATGACCCACATTTTTGTGTCATTCAACAATAAAACACCCTGCTCAAACAGCAAACTGTTCACAAGAGCTCAAAAATTTATAATTCTGGAAGCCTAACAAAATGATAGCAATACGCAAAGAAAAAGTAATTTTTAATATACAGCTCCACCAAAGCAAAAAAAAAAAAAAAAAAGATGTCCCTAATAGCAAAAGGTACTGGAAAAAAGAGAAAAGAGCTGCTGCAAAATGCTAATATCACCAGCATTTAAACTCTTAAATAAGACCAACACTGACTGAAAAAAAAACCAACCAAAACAAAAAACAAACAAAACCAACAAAAAAAAAACCAAACAACAAACTGGGTGTGAAAGAAGATTAAAATCAGTCTTCTTCTGCAAAAATGAACACTATCCTCTAATTAAGCAGCTATCAGAAAGTAACTTCTTGGAATCCTTGTTTTCTCTGAACTAAAATCCACTTACCACATGTTACTCTCTTACACTAAGTGACATTCCCACATCCAGCTGCAAACAACTGCTACCTAGTAGTAACCTCAAGGAAAGGAGTTAAAAAGGTGGCTCATTTAAATCACTACGGTATCAATGGAAACTTTTAGGTCCTGAAAAACTGAGAAGCCTCTTTTAGAAATAAAACAAAAGCACAGGGCAATAACCTGTATGGCCTAAGAGAGCCTGTGCCCCTGTGCTTCAGGAAGGTCTATCCACCTCAAGTACAGCAGCCTCCTCAGGCTACGTAAGTACTCAAGCTCAAAAAATGCCTTCTCAAAGCACAAAGACCTGGGAGTGAAATAACTACCAATATTATCATGGAATATTATACATGAAAATTATATGAACTGTTCACATTCTAACCACGTCTACTGAAGCTTTTGAACGTAGTGAGATACAAACCAGTTATTTCAGAGGTTTCAGCTCATTGCTATGGCAGTACAACTCAACATAGGACAAAAGCCCTCTATTATAATTGCAGAATGTAAAAACTGATACTTTTCTAGCTTGTCTGGAAGGAAAAAAAGAATTCTTTGCAGTGCTGTTGGAAAGGCAAAACAAACAGATTCTGAGGCCTAAGTACAAGGACACTTTAAAACAAAGCAAGAATGGACGTTTGAAGAAAAGGCTCCTCTTATTCATCCAGACAGGCCACCTATTTATCACAAGGTAGTATGCTCTTAGCCTTCCTCCCTCAAGAAATGGAACTTGTTCCTTTATTCCTCCATTCCCTCGGAGGTCTTGCACGCTTGTTGAAAGAGACATGCCTGCCCCCCTCTGCTAAATGCGCAAGCCACAGCTGGGCAGCAGACAAGAATTGGAACTGCTGCCGAGAAAATGCTTCACTGGCAGCTCAGTGGTGCCTGATTCAACTTGCCACCTCGGCACCCAGCCTTGTGCAGATCTCAGACATCTCCCTGCCTGCTTCCTCTTGTCCACCTGAGGCTTGCACATGATGAAACTGAAACCCAAAGACAGAAGTCAGGACAGTAAGGAACATGAAGAATAAATAACATCACAGAGCAGCACAGGGCAAACACAAGACACAACTCTGCAAAAAAAGCCTGCAGTTAGTTCTGCCTGTTGTGGTAGAAAATCTTTAAATCTGCACAGATGAACTGAGGAAGAAAGCCGAAATAAAGGAACTGTACACTAGTTAGGAGATCTTTTCATGGGCTGAATTTACCAAGTGATTAAGTTGGTATCCTGGTTTCATTTTATAACTTCCCCAAGTATCGCAGAAAATTTTAACTGCATGCTTGAACAATGCCACTGGAAAGATCAAAATCATATGGAGTTCACAGTATCACTGGTTTGTGATGCACATGGGATAAACATTTAGCTCACAGAAGGAAGCACCTTTCAGCATGGTACCATCCATTCGCCTCTGGACTAGCATCCCTTTACTAGAGCAAACTGGAGACTTTTTCCTTCTTTAAACAAATGCAGCTATAATTTCCTACTTAAGTCAATTAACATAAAATAAAGTTTATGTTCCTTTCAGTACTTCAGAGGCAATCTTGCTGATAAAAGACCAGCAGATTTAACCATGCAGGAACTATTCATTTAATTAACACCTGATGTATGAACCTGGCCTACATTCAGGCAGAGAAGTACGTAGTAATTCAGCTCCATGAAAGACTTCAGCAGCACCATCATGCTGCTGAGCAATGCTCAGAAAGGAAGCCATGACTGTTTATTGCTGGGCAACAGACAGAATCCCAATCTGTACAAGAACTATCTTTGGAAAAAAAAAGTAAATCCAGTACTTCACGGTAACATTCTCTTCCAGGATCATCCTGAAGGACAGCAGTAGTAAATAAGGCTGTCTGCTACCAGTATGTGCCCTTTTCAAAACAATGATTGGAGGTAATTAGGTTATGTCCAAATTCATCAATATGATGAAGGTGAAAAGTGATAAAAAGATGACAAAACTTTTGTTCAAGTGTGGAATAAAGACAAACTACACGCCAAGCCTAATCCTATCCCCCACACTGCTATTCACTCAATTTGAAAGAGAAAACCAGAGAGTTTTATATTAACTACGTAAAACAGACTTGGCCTCTGAAAATCTTCCAGTAATTAAAATACCTATTTTTTTCCCACACCAAGAAAGTGTCTTCAGTTAAGAGGCAGAGATACTCAAAGTAATGGACAAATTAATGCGCTTTCAAAGATTCCTGCATTCAGGCTGGCTTACCTGAATAACTATATACTTCAGCTTCAAAGAGTGAGATAAGGATCATTTAACACTTTGTCCTGGAAAAGGTAACAAGCAGCAGCTACAGAAGAAATTTTTAAAGGTGGAGGAAAAAAAAAAAAAGGAAAAAGAAAAGAGTGAAAGTAAGTACTTCAGCCAAATAAATGAGATGTGCATGGAAGCAGTCAAATCGACTTTGCTGCGGCTTTAAAATGGGACTTTCTTGTATCTGTAAAATTTTAATGTATAAGGTAACTCCAGTCTCAAAGTCTGGTGATGTGGAAATTAAATGGAAACAAATTAATTATAATACTGGCTGAAACTGAGATAATTATAATGTCATTGCAACTTTGCCAAGATACTATTCTTCCTGGTTCACATGGAAGGAGGGATGGAAGAGAGCCTTCTATTTCAAAAAACATCTACCTTATCTTGTGCTGGGAAATTCTGATATGAATTTTTATAACCATTCAACCAATACAATAATTTAATGCAAAACAGAAACATTTAAAAGAGCTACAGGTAAGTATGTAAGCAGCTTGCCTTGCCTCAGCAATCGAAACAACAGTAACCATTTCTGGGTTTCTCCCTAAAACAGTAGTGATCCAACTTCATATTGTTTCATACAAGAGACTTAATTCCATTTCTGAAACAACTCAAGATTAATCGTTTGGGTGGATCTCTGCCTATTCATACTAGCCAGTCTGCCATTAAGGCAAAGCAGACTATTTTCACTCATCTCCCTTGTAGGACAAGGTACACAAACTAATTTCAAGATACTGAGAATACTAGAGAAAGCCATCATCAAGTATTTGACTATGCAGATTCTACTTTCTACCATTAGAACTTACCTAACAGAACAGCTGGAAGGAAAAGGAGAACAGAAAAAGGAACAGAAATACTGTTTGACTATCTTTGAAGCCATCCACTATGAGTTTCACACAAATTCTTCCAGGTATTAATGTATCAGAACAACCTCCTGTTTCACAGCTTGAGAGCCCTAAATCTTCATTGAGCAGGTCAGCAAGGTCACACTATCCCAAACAGTCAGAGCCAGCACCAGATTCTATTGTACACAGCGACAGGCAGCACTGCCGATGTGATTTTTTAAATAAGAATCACTATCAGTAATTTCAGTCCACAAGCTTCGTGCAGGAGTTTGAGAAGACTCCTACCTACTTATTGTACTAACTTCTTTTTGTTTTCTTCAAAGTCTAATTAACTCTCAGTCACTTTTTGCTTTAGCTTCTGATTATCCTCCAGTGCTTCATTTTTGCTTTGCTCTTCTGGATTGGTTTCCGGATCAGGATTGTACCGATACAAATACCCATATGGACGGAGATGATAAATCAAATATTCCAATTGATACATAGTCATGGAATCAACATAGTGGAATGAAACTGCTAGATCGGAGCAGCATCCAGGACCCTAAAAAACAAACCAAGTCAAAGTCATCAGCTAAAACTGCAAAGCACGCCCTGAATTAAAGACCCAATAAGAATTCAAAAGCATCCTTGACATCATGGTAAGAAATTTACTATCATCAGTCACATATATACTTCAAAACATACTGTCAGGGAAGCAAAATGTATCAAACATCAGCCAAAGCATCCTTTAAAAATAAAAGTTAAACAGTCTTTGGTTTCTGTAACTAAGCAGGTAAAATAACTAGCTGCTCTCAATAACATCAGGGGTTTTTTTGCTTTTCCATACTTTGCTTTTTATATTAGTGTTTAAACAAAACCAAGTGGCAGTGAGCAGGTCTAAAGGCACTGCACTTCCATATGAAACAATGCATACACGATACTCATGATAGCATCCACTCAGAGCACGCAAGCCAAATGTGTGCGTGCATGCACCTGCGTGTGTGTGTGTTCACACATTACAGAGTTTGGCAAACCGTCAGTATCTAGTTTCCTACAGACAGAGAGTTGTAACGAATCATGTTGGAACTATTCTTTAAGTATTTCATTGCCCTGCCCATGGCAGGGGGTTGGAACTAGATGATCTTCAGGTCCTTTCCAACCCTAACTATTCTATGATTCTATGATTCATGTTCTTAAGCATTTTTAAGAACTAAAAGATCTTAATTAACACACTTGTTGCAACTTTTATTTTCTAGCTGAAATTCAGCTTTGAGAACACTTTTCTGGAAGATATTTTGGGAGGGGGCTGTTCATCAGGTTTGGTTGCAGAGCTGTTAATATTCCAATTCTAACTAGAATTAAGATTAAAACATTAAAAGACACTGAAGTGAGCAATTGTTACACAACTGTTATTCTTTCAATGCTTATTAAGTTTGATCAATATACCATGGTTTTGCTACCAGACAAAGTAGTCTCTATCCAAACACAACTACAATAGGACAGGATCAAATATGTGATTTCCATTATGGATCTCCACCACCACTGCATCACTTATAATTGCCCACAGCTCAGCCACCCGTGAAGAGCAACCGTAGCTAAAGCTGCTGCATCCTGACACACTAAATACGTTATTGTAGCTGGTTTAAACTACAGAAATGCTCTAGGCACTGAATACAAATATAAAAATAAATGCTTTACAATGAAAAGAATCTGGTACAGAGCTAGATTCCCCCTCCCCCCCCCCCCCCCCCACTTTACTGTGTAAGAAATTCTACATCTTATCCTTGATTTTGGCTACTTATGCTCATCTCAAAGCTTGCTGAAAAATAATACCTTTAAAAGTGAAATTATAATCTTAAGAAGAAACCTAGGTGATCTTAAGGTCCTTCCCAACCGTAACTATTCTATGAGTATGTGATTGTGATCAAAATTTACAATGCAAAATACCTTCAGGTTGCTTTAAGTAGCCCCCTGCTCCCACACACACCTTTTGGTTGGGGTTTTTTTTTCCTTTTTAAACCATAGATTTTAGATATGAATACAAATTCTTGCAGTAAAAATTTTTCATTTTGTAAATACTACTTCTGTTGCTACAACAAAAGAATTTTTTAGAACTTACTTTGCCAGCTCTTATGCTTGCGTCCACTTCTACAGAAGGGAGACAAGAGTCCAGTACAACTACACAAGGAAATCTAATAATATTTCTTTGTTTGGATCATGCTGTTATTTCACTTCTAGGCAACGTTCATTATTCTGAAATCTTTTCAGTGAAATTCACTTTACCATTACCCACCAGAACCTTGAGTAATTTGGGACTCTCTTAGACAACATTAACCAACTACAATCACTAATGAGTCCCAAAATTAGTTCTACAGGTTCTATGCAAAGTTTGCTGTTGGGTAGAAGATAAAGGTGCATCAGTGCCACCTTCCCTTTCAGCAGGCTTCAATGTAACTAATGTAACTAACACTGTTAGGCCCAGCTCTGTGCAGTGAGCGCATACACCTTGGAACTGACCCCACCAGTCTCACTGCACACTGCTAGTTGGATGGGTGAAGGAGAAACTAGGGACACTGTGTGCAAGACATGCGAGATCGAAACAGAACAGTAACTTTGCAAGGAAAGTAGCAGTGGTGACACTAAGCAAACATGTCAAAAAGGTTTCATCATTTTTTGCTGTCCACAGAACATAGCAAACCAGCAATAATAATTTAAAATTCACTAGCTCTTTTCCAACATTAGGCTCTTAGCATGGACTTTGAGTTGATTACTGTATTTAACACATCTACACACAGGTGCATCACAGGGTATCACAACAAAATCTTCTTTTCTAAAGTACATATTGAGCAACAACTAAACTTCTAATTCACACATCGTAAGATGTACTTCATAAAATGGGTACCAGGCTCCTAAGGACTTACCTCTACAGCAGGATAATAATTGTAATTCCAGTACCAGAATGTTTTTGGCAGGTATCCTCTGACTAAGTGATGTTCTGGAACAAAGGGATGAAAGGTTTCTCTACCACTTGTATCCCTAGAATCTCCTGCTTCCACATTAATGATCTCCATGCATTTTCCTAGTGCGAGGTCTTCAATTGAAGAACTATGAGAGCATTTGTTTGTTTTAAACGCAGCAACAAATCTCTTCAGAGCTTCTTTGCTCAGAACATAACCTGCTCCTCCACTCATGTAGCCCTGTTTCACATAAGGCTTAAACCTTCTTCCAAAGTATATTGGCTGTTCAGGACTGTATTTTGAAAGAAGCCATCTCAAATTGTCCAATATAACATATGTATCATCATCTGCTTTCATAAACCAATCAGCATCATCAAAATAATGGTCATGCACATACTGAAAAGCTTTTATAGTCTTCCAGTACAGTTGGTCTCTGCCTTCTTTGGCTTCTAGGCCCACAGTTGGGAAGTCTTTGTTTTCCTCGGAGCTCATAAAAAGTATTTTATTACAACGTTGGGCCCAAGTGGCCTTAACATGCCTGGCTTTCTTTTCTAGATTTTGAGGTCCAGTCATGACCCAACACAGTATTTTCACCTTCTGATACAGTCCCTCTGCAATATTTTTATTTTCATCTAATAAAAAAGAAGAGAAAAGTTCCAGGACAATATTAGATTGCAAAACAAACTAAGAACAGCCTATCCCCTAGACATTGTTTTTACATCAGAAAAGAGATGCAGAGAGAGAAAAGGCATTTGCTTCCAAATGTAAAAGGTAATGAAATTAATGTCATATTTAAAAAGAAAGCAAACAAGAGTCCCCAAACCCAGAAACTAAAATTTTTAAAGTTACTAGATGATCTTAAGGTCCTTTCCAACCCTAACTATTCTATGATTCAACTTAACAGATAAACAAGAGCATAAAAGCCAGACTGGAATAGGTATCTCTTCAGGAAACAGGCTTTAGAAAACCTTGATTTGTACATAAATACTGTTGGGAGACAAGTTTTTTATGGTGTTGGAGGATTACTGAAAATTAAAAAGCTGAGTATTTTTGTCATTCACAGTGAACACGATTACAGCACAGACAGGTCAAAAAGCTAGTAAGGTCTGTTGTACAGAGTCATGTTAACTAATAAAACCCAGCAATATATTTTTGAAGGTAAAAGCACATGGTGAGCCAGAAAGAAAGAATTTATCACCAAACCAAGTTAAATCTTATTTGTAAAATATCAGATTAAGTAAGTTAGGATACTTTGAAACTAGTATTACTCTTGTGATTAAATGTATTTATTTGCAGACAATCCAACAGAATAAACAGACACAGTAATCTGAGGCACATAATATAATATTTGACAAGCTGCCAAAGCAGTCATTTCCCTCAAAGAATCATTTTCACTTGACACATACACAGCAATTGTAACTCATGTAAAAGAAAATTCCATGGCAAGTAAGATCGGCGTAACTTGTCCTAAAATATTCCTGTTTATGCAACCGATCAGATTTCTTTGTAACAATGCTCTACAGTTACATGTGAAACACTCACAAACTTATGAAGTTTGTAGTTTAAATATATTTAAATAGCAAATCACTTATTAACATGTTCAGCAAATGCACTAAAGTGAATTTTTTCTTATCCAAACTGTCCCAACTCAGATGCATTTCTCTGGTTTTGACTGCAACAGCAACCTGTGCTTGTTCACTGGCACAGATTGCCCAGAGAAGCTGTGGCTACCCCATCCCTGGCAGTGTTCAAGACAAGGTTGGACAGGTCCTTGAGCAATCTGGTCTAGTGGAAGATGTCCCTGCCCATGGCGGGGGGGGGGGTGGAAATAGGCTATCTTTAAGTTCCCCTCCAACCCAAACCATTCTATGATTCTATTGTTCTACGACTGCTGCATAATCAGCTTGACAAACAATGAAACAATGCCTACAGTGACCCCCTCTGACCACCCCACCATCCCAAATTTTACTAATTGTGTAAAAAAGTGATTTTCTGATTTCTGATTTGGTTTGGGTTTGTTTGTTGGGGTTTTTGTTACGGTTTTATCTAAGAGGCTATTTCAAAAGTTAGAGGTGGTCCAAAAGTAGCTCCATAAAGCTAAAAACCAATTCAGGCATGTCTACAATGCTAGCAAATACATCTGCTTAGCAAAACCACCATTTGATGTCAATAGTTCATTTGAGAAGCTCCTGCTTCAAACAAGTCTAGATACAGAAGCTCAACAAACAGTTGAACTCTAAGAAAAAAAACCAAACCACTACTATAATAAAAACGTAAACAAAGAAAACCACTAGTCATTGGACCTCAGGAGAACAAAGTTATTTAGAGGTAACCTGAACATGGGGAAAGTGAAAGAAAAGGTGCATACAAACTCTTGGCAGTGAATAAAGTAACACTTTGCCATGCTTGAAAAGGGAGCGTATTATACAATTAGTCAGGCGCAACAAAATACCTTTATGCTGTCCAAAGTCTGCATTGAAATTCATTTGCCCTTGCAGCTGATTGCTATCGGTATCTGATGAGTGCTGACCATGCGGATCATTGTGAAGGACATGAGGCTGGATCTTTACTTGTTCTTCTAGTATAATGCTAAACAGAAGATAGCATACAAAAAATCCTATTGCCGATCCAAAAGTGAAGGTTAGAAGATTCATCAAAGACTTGGAAGAGGCCATCTCCTGAAGGTAATGCACTGTCAAAACCAAATGAAAAATACATTAAACTTAAAGCTGCTTAACACAGAAATCAAATCTATAGGAAGAAATCAAGGACTAAATCTCTGGAAGCAGAGATCTCCATTCTAGCTCAGATTCAGCTCCCCTGGGCTTCCCTGGGGGTTTAAGTACTAGAACAATGCAAATATTCATACAAAATTGTAAATCCACTGATAAATTTAGTGCAAAGGGCTTATCATTCTTTAGTTTAAAATTATAATCACTATAGTGACTGTACACACAAAACCCTTTCATATTTATACAAGAATGTATACATTTAAAGTACAATCTCTTAATTATAAACTGCACTATAAGTTTTCAATTCTTTATTCTCTTCATTCCAAGAAACCTATGCTTTAAAATGTTATACCTATTACATTATAATGTAATACAAAGCCAAAAGATGAAGATCAAAGGCAATCTACAGGTCCATATACAATATGGACCTGGGATGTACCTAAACTGCAGAAGTTATGGAATTCTTTAAGAGATGTCGAATACCTGCAGATTTTCAAGAGTTATAAAAGCAAATCTACTCTCAAAGTAGGGGAGTTTTCCTTCCATTTTTAGGAAGTATTGAGGACACACTTTCAGAAGAAAGAGTAAGACAACATCTGAATTTTCATGCAGAAAAACCCATTCTTAAAGAGGAGAACAAAACGCCTCAGCCTCAGGGCCTCATCTACAGATCAAACCCCTTGTATTCCAGTAACAAAAAGCAAAAACCTCCACCTCAACTACACCCCTTCTCCTCAAAAACCAAAGGACTTGGCTGACCATTTTTATAAAATCAAACAAATCTGCATATACGCCTGCATAAAGTGAGATTTATACATGCAAAACAGGTGTGAGGTTTTATTTATTAAACACTTTCAGGCAAACCAATTTCAGGCTGTTGAGGCCTGAGGCCTTTTCATTTTTGCAAAGGGTAGAGATATTTTCTAAGAATTCATGACTAAACTATAAAAACATGGGCCATTAAATATATACTGGATTCAAGCCAGAGCCTTACAAACAAGTTGATGATGTTCCCTCCATTAGAGTTGTTCTTAATGTCTATGGGCAGAACCCACTTTAGTTAGTTAGGGAGCCAAAAAAAGAAAATTATGGAATGCACAGAGCATCAATAAAAAATATTGATCTGAAGAGCTGCAGCCACCAAAACAACTCATTTAGCCTGCACCCGCTTCTCTCATTGGCTACGTATAGTCTACTGGAAAAAGACTGTCCCCGAGCAAGCTTCATAAATCACTTTGCAGTAACACACGCTCCAAATACCAGCTCCCTGTCTGAGCGCTCTCCTGAACAGACAGCAGAGAGGACAGAAAGCAGGTGTGTGTTTTGTTAGGGTGGTACTTTCAGAAATCATCAGATTTACTGCGCACATGTAGATCTAAAGCATTTGAGAGTGAAGCAGCTCTAACATATGCTTTTCTTTCCATGCTGCTAGAAAAAGGAAAGAAAACTGGAAACACAACTTGAAGCACAAAATAAAAATCAAGAAACTTAAAGGTTGTATCAAAATCACATAATTATAACTGAGGTTGATAAGAAGCTATACTTCTTTAATATAAAAAAGCACACTATACAATTTTTTAATCATATATTGTTTTCCCTCAATTCAGTACTACATCTTGCTGGAGACTAACAGTTGCCTTCAGACATCACATCTTAAAGTACAGAATTGACTGTATTATCATTTGCAACCCAGGCCTTGAAAAAATGACTTGTTTCCAGCTTTATTTCTATTGCATTCTATGCCACTAACTTGGGAAGAAAACATGAGACGTAGATCAGGTGCCCTACCCCCCTCAAAAAAAAAAAAAACAACAAAAAACAAAAAGCCCAAAACCACCAACCAACCAACTAACCAAAAACCAACACTGAAGGAAAAATCTACACACACAAGCAGCCTATGATGCTGAAAAGTATTCACTCTACTAAAACTGTTGGTTTTTTGCTTTCACTTTTGCCATCTACCACCACAAAATTCCCATAAAATTTGCAGTACACAAAGGCAGAGGTCCAGAATACAACAATGCTTTCCTTCTGCATATTAAAAGGGGGAAAAAAAAGAAAAACTCATGCAGGCACACACCGTAGCTGCAGCACCTTCTAGAATAAAAAGTCCCCATTGTTCCACTTTCCAATATTGGGCACCTCTTTGCCATACAATTTCAGTTATCTGCTCTAACACCTGTCAAAATTACTCTTGCTTGGAGAGAAAAAAAAAAATTAGATAAACACATGAAAATAACTGCTGCTTATTAAATTACAGAATTATGTTAAATTGGATTCTTTAGGAAAAAAACCTTTAAGTGTATTGGAAACGTTAAAAGAGAAAAAAGTGCATTCATCACATTTGGAAATCAGAAGTTGATTTGTCATTATTCCAGAAGCAAAGAGGATTTCTGGAAGCAGACTGGGACAGATGCCAAAGCTGTACTTGATATTTGATATGAAATATCACTAGTTACCATTTTCAATCTAAAATAATCCATCATTATATCGATTTTATATAAACAGATTGGACTACCATATACATATTTGTGTAGCCATATGCTTATAAACTCCAACAGTAAACAGAACAGAAATCTTCATTTTTTTTGTGTTATCCTTATATTTGACCTGAGTCTTTTAACTTGCCAGCAAAAGTAACTGTGCTATAGCATTATAGTAGAATCAGAAAACACCTATAAGGAAAGTAATTTCTTAGTATGATAAGCATCCCCACTCAGACTTTCTATTGACATTCTTTTCTATACAGGGGTTTATTGAGGGCCACAACATACAGAACATTTAAGTGTTCACAGTCACGTTGGATGAGGCTTTGAGCAACCTGATCTAGTGAAAGATGCCACTGCTCATGGCAGGTCATCAGACTAAATGATCTTTAAAGGTCCCTTTCAACACAAACCATTCCATGATCCTATGATTGTATGACATACAGAGGGAAAAGGTAAATACAAAACTTACCAGGTGACTAAAAGAAATTTTTTTCATATTTCTATTTTTACTTCACTTCACTTAAAAAAAAAACCAAATGCTTTTTAAAAAACATCTACAACAAAATTCTAGGTCTAAGTTTAATTTATGCTCCACTGCCCTATCATGGCAGCTTAAACATATATATGTATTTAGATATTCATGTAGGCAGCCCTATTCACATTGGCCAGACCAACAAATATTCTAACATTGTATCACAACATAAAAGTCACTGTAGATGTGGCTCCAAGTTTTGTGAATCTACATCTTCAAACTTACAGAAAAAGTATTTCTTCTGTGTTAGAAGCTGCTGAAACTGGCAGCCTAATAAAGACCAGGCAGCTGCAACTCCATGTCCCCAGATACAGCCAGTGACAAGGCTGAGGATGTTGTTCTCAGAGTTGCACATATGAACATGCACATACAGATGTCTGAACATACAGATCAATACAACTGAAACCAGTGTCTGTGCAAACACAGACATGGGCCAGGCCTATGCTGCTCCTCTCCCCAGCTGATTAGGATAAAAGCCTGTTAATGGAAATACACACGTGTGTACAGTGTGTACAGTGGCAGGATCCACTGTACTGGCCTCAGACACTCAATCTACCCAGAAACCACCACTGCATCCTCAGTCTTCGAAGAGTCCCACTCCAGTTGCTGGTACAAACCCCCTTCACATAGATACACACATGTCGCACCCAGAGACATGCCACAGCTCCCCAGCAAATGGCCTTAGACATTCAGTCCACTCAGTAACTGGCCCTTGGATCCTTTTGTCTCCAGTTGCCCTGCTCAGAAACACACATGCAAATGAGGCTCCAAAACAACCCCCAGATCTTACAGTCCCTCTGGCAGCTGCTTTGGACCTCCTGGACTCTCATATTGCCAAACTGGAGACCTTATGATCTCACTAGTAACTGTCTCACACTTACAGCTGCCTCAAAACCTGGCTCCCAAGTGTCTTACCCTACTTACTGGCTAGCCAGACATGCTATTCACTAGCAATCACACACTGGCATGCTTGCCAAGACAAAATGCATGCACTCTGCTCTCCGCAATTATTCACACTTAAGAGACACATAAGCCACCGTGACTTACAGTCTCCACTGCAGCTGCCCTCCCTCACTCTGGCACATCAGATACAAAGGTCCCTATAACTTCGGTTACCACTCCAGTTGTTGGTGCTTATTCCTCAGTATGGATATAGCGCAGAGCCCTCTTATCCAGGAAAAGAGAAATTAAGCTTAATGAGAAAAGAAGCCAGGCTGTGGTAATCTGGCACAGCACATGGCCAAACATAGTGACCAACCACTTGTTCACAATCAACCAGGCCCTTTATCCCCTTATCCCTTTTATCACCTTACCCTTCTATTTTCCCATACTTGTTCTGGCTCAGCGAACCTTACTCCCTCATTTTAGTCCATCCCGTAAGCATCCCAAAATAAGTTTTGTACAGTCACAAGATGCTCTTCTCCTGCACGCTATAATATGTCCCATATTCTGTAGGCAGTTACCCCTTAATCTTGCAAGATGTTCCAGAGAGCCTTTCTGTTGACTTATTTTGATGCATGCCACACCTGGGCAATGGGACTGACAGCTCTCCAATGACAAACCTGGGGCTACTTCCTCTGATGAGACTAATGGGGTCCTCCCATCCCTGCTGTACCTCTCTGTGCAGTCCTGCAATGAGCCTTTTAACACATTGATCAGAATACCGTCCTCACTCTGGTAGCTGTTCCAGCAAGGATTAAGGTCACCTTCCTAAGCCAAAGGAAACTTAAAGAATCCCCAAATCCCCATGCAATAGGAATAATAGGATACTGGAGCTGCCTCATTCCCACCCCTCAAAGCAAAACAAAAAAAGCCCTTTAAAATTAATACTTTTAAATAAACTCAAACTATGTAACTTTCTGAATTTGTTTTCAGAGAAAATACGCCAAAAAAAAAAAAAAAAAAAGAAAAAAAACAGCAAGCTACCAAATCTGGAGATTCTGAAATTTACAAAATAATTCTAAATATTTTACACATGCTTTTTGCAGTACCAGTCCATAATCACTTAAAGATTTGATAAATTAACTATGAGAAACAAGGCTAGCCTACACACACTGCTGGCTCTTCCTCACATCCCTCACAAGTGATGGGGAAGCCCTGAGGCCTCAGCATGATACAGAATGCAAACCGTCCTTGAACAGCTGCATAATTACCAGTGAAACTGATCTCCACTACCACACCCTCACCAGTCAAAGAGCACGTCCGAATAACTGAAGTCAGAATGTAGAAAACACGGTTAGATGTGCAATGCCCAGAAAGGTCTTCTGCTCACTGAGTCCCATTATTTCCAGGAGCTTTACACGGGCATATTCATATGCTTCTAAAATGAAGAAGCAAAAGTTGTATATTTGCTAATACTGTCTGCATCTGCTGCAGTTTCCTATCCACTAAGGATAAACTACATTTTTCCCGTCCTTTTTTTTTTTTTTGGGGGGGGAAGGGGGGGAGGGAGAGAGGATATCTACTGTTTCAGGCATTTCTTTGGAGAAGATCTTTAACCATCAAAAACTCTTGGTTGTTCTACCACAAAGCATAGCCAGCAAAATAAGGTATTTTGGTATGGGTGGCCAATGATAGCATTGAAACAAGACATGTAACAAACCACAGCACAGGTGAGATGGAAGAGACACCCTGCAGTCTCCTTCCTCATTCCAAAACCTGACAACCCTCCCGTAGCAACAAGTTACCACGTCCAAAGAATGGCTTTCTAGACCTCTACTAACAGTGCTTACTAGAGAACTGCAACGTCAGTCCAGGAAGTCCCTGCTACAAGGAGCAGAGGCGGAGGGTGTGGAACAGCAAGCAACTCGCCCTCCACAACCACCTCGCTCCCTCCACCGGGGCTCTGCCGGGACCCGCTCTCTTCCAAGCAGAGGCCTCTCCCTCCAGAGCCTCTCCTTCCCAGCCAAGCACCTGCTGTTCCCGCAACCGCAGCTCCTGCGGGCACCCTTCTCGCCGCCGCCGAGACGACACGCACCGCCCCGACCACCTCCTCCCGCCCGGTCACCTCAGAGAGGCACCTTCCTTCAATGCCTCCTCCCCAGATGGGGCAGTGCCCCCAGAGGCCTTGCCCGACGGTCTCACCCCTACAACTGCCCAGCGCGGGGCCCCACCGCCTCAGCACCGCCCCTCACCTCGTCAAACCGGCGGAGCCCCGGCGCCCGCTCAGCCGCGCGGCCCGCAGTGAGCAGCCATTGGCCGCGCGCACGGGAAGCCGCTGCCAAGCCCACGGACCTGCGCCCCCACCACCGGCGGCGGCGGCGACACCATCCCGCCAGCCCCGCGCCGCGCCGCGCCGCGCACCCCCGGACCGGAACGGGAGCCGGACCGGCGCCCGCCCCGCTGCCTGCTCATTGGCTGGGAGCGCCGTGGGGGGCGTGGCCGGGCCCGCCGCTCTCATTTTAACCCTTGCCGCCACGCTGGCACTGCCGCGTGGCAGTTCGGTTTTCCTGGTGCGTTTTGGTGTGTCATCGGCGGCCGCCACGACTGGTGGCTGGGGAGGAGGAGAGCGCCCTGACCGACAGAGCGTGGTACCCCGCTGGGGACGGTGATCTGCCCCTTCGTGTGTTCCCCCCTCCGGTTGTCTGCCGGGAGCGCGGCCACGTCGCCGGGCCAGGCCCCAAGTACAGCCCATGCCTTCCGTGTGGGGAGACCGCCAGGTGGGTGCCTCAGGACGCGGACGCGGACGCAGCCGCAGCGTGAGGGTTGTTGCGGCCGGCCCGCCCGCAGTACCTGGTGGGTTCGTCGGTGAGGGCTCTCCATGTGGTAGAAACATGGTACAGGGCGTGCGGGGGGGAGACAGGAGAAGGAGGAGCGTCGCCTCCCCTTGGCCGCTGGAAGGTTTGCAAGTGGTGAAGTGTTTCGGCGTCGGTATCTCCCTCGCCGCCTCTTCAGGCATGGCTAGAGAAGAAATGCCCCGGGGAGGGGTGTCCGCCCGCCTGTTTATCGCATTACCTTGCTCCTTCTGCCCGGTCTTGCCTGGAAGCAGCCTTGCGGTGTGCTCGATCCGGGCTGCGGAGTGCTGCTGCTTTCCAGCTCCTCTTTCCCTGCACTTGAGCCGATCTGGAGCTTCTGCGGTTCCAAAATACCATTAGGCAACTGCAAGGGACGTTGCTAGGTAACCAAGCCCTCTGAAATCATTCCTTATCTCCCTGTGCTAATGCTGCCTACCTTTTTAACATCCGTGACGTTTCTCTCTCGGTATTTTTCTTTGGGAAAAGGCTATTGAATATGAAGAAGGATTACAGAGGTGTTTTGCATTACAGGGTAACCAAAGGACAGTATTTTGCAAACAGCAGGTAGTTAACGGAGCTCTGCAGTTAGTTAAGTAGAGGTTTATTTATTTTTTTTTAAAGCACTGGTGTGCAGGTACGTGCAAACAAAAGCTGGTCCATGCTGTGGGAAACCAGGGTCTCTGTAAAGGGAGGTAACTGCCCACACTGCTTTTGATGTTGCACCCTATCTGTCTCCTTCCTCCAGCCTGTCCAGGGGTTTAGTCAAAACCATAGCTTTGCCTCTTCACAACTGCAGATCTGTGTGTCTGCTTTTGGCCTCCTAGGTCATTCGGGAGAGGCTGGCTTTTGCACTGCGGTAAGAAGCTCACATGTCCCACAAGGCTAAGGTCATAGTATCCCTTCCTGCCCCGTCTGACAGTTTGCTGCTGCCTGAAAACAAAAATTACAGGCAACTTGGTGAATGGTATCTCCTTGAGCTAGTTTCATCGTAGAAGAAGGGGCAAAAGTGAGGTGAGCATAGTTGTTGGGGGGACATTTGAGTGTTTGGCAGTAAGAAATTCAACTATAAACAATAACAAAGACGATGAAAATTGCAAAGGCTGCTGAAAAATCATGGAGGTGTCTGTCGTCTTGTTTCCCTTCCTCTTCCCCCTCGCATCAAGTTTTGGTAGGAGTTCTGTCCACCCATGTCCAGGGGCATGCCTTAAAATCCTAAAACAGATCAAATGAAGTTTTCAAAACATCTCATTGCACATGAGATTACATAATTCTTGCATACATATTACATACATTATAATTAAGCTGAATCTAAGACAATTTTTCTTGGAAAACTCTTGGATGATGTAAGTTCTGCTGTCAAGTACTGTGGCCCATCTATATTGCATATGTGTATATGTAATGAAATTTTGAGTAGTTTGGTTTAAAAGGAAATAAATCACTTTGATCTTCATGTCAGTATATAGTAAAAAATTAGATATTTCCCATTGTAGGAGGGAAAAGCCATATTAAACATAAAAGACTGTTTTTGCATGCTTCCAAAAGGTGCAGGGCAAATACAGGGTAGCAGGTTTTTAATCCCTGTATTCATCACTTCGGTAGGTCTTCATGAGCTACCTGGCTGGGCATCTGCACTGCTAAGCCCTCAGGAGAGCATTCCTTAATATGCACGGACTGTAAAAGCCCACTTGCAGATCAGCTGCTGCTCTCAACTCTCCATTACCATGCTCAGGAGACCAAGAATACAGGTTTCTAAATAAGAAAACTGACACGAAGTTAAGGAGGAAGGCAAAATGCAACAGCTGTTGTGGGCCTGTGATTTGGCAATCCACTGACTTCGCATACAACATTTAAATATTTAATTTGCTATCTAATAAATATCTGTGATTGAAACTGTGATTTCCTTCTGTAAACAGCTTTCTACATGCTAATGGCTGACAAAGAACCAGCTTTACCAGATCAAATTCTACATACTCCATGGAAAACTATTTTGTTTTCTCACTATTTTGTTCAATTATAAATGGTCTTGATTCTGTTTATGCCATTGCTTTATGGATCATCAGCAAGACCATGAAAGTATATATTGATGAGTAATTTCCGTATTTTTTTGATTGAAAACTACTTTTATGTTCTCTGTTCACTCCTATTTAGTCAAACATATGACCAGCCTTACTTGCTTAAATAAAAAATCCCATTAACTTGACTGTTGAGATTCAGGGAGGCTGTTCGTCTTTAAAGAACCTATTACCCATTGTATGTCAGCCTGTGAACCCACAAACTGTGGTTGCAGGCATACTGGACCAGATCAAGTACGAGTATTACCCATGCCTACCCTAACTCCTAGAGCACAACAAAGGCTGTAAGGAAAGTGAGTGGATTTTCAATTTACCACCCCATCTTTGCTCACCTGACATGGGACAGGATATGCAAATTGGGTGCTATGGTGTCCTGAAAGAGGCAGAACTATATATGAAGCTGTAAAATTAATTTATTTACTGTAATATACTTGATTACTGCATGAGATGGAGTGAATTATAACATGATAAAGCAGTAAGAGGGTTCTCCATGCTGTAGTGTACCACCTTCCTTTTACATATAAGAACATCAGCTGGCTGAAAGTCTGACATCCTGTTACTATACGGAACTTCACTCTCTGTATGTCTTGCACAAACAATAGTGGAACTGCTGTGTAGTAAGGCATGTTACTGATCGGCGACATCAGAAGTACTGTCTGCATTTAAACAATGTACAATCTCTACTCGTCTTAACCAGATCTTGCAACAAATAATTGATTTAAGCCACTGTGAACTCACAGGTTAGTATTCAGTGTGTGCCAAAAACTTGAGTTATATATTTTAAGTGGCAGAATAAGGGATTAATCACTGTATCTTGCAAACAATTTGAAGTAAAGGAGGCCTGTTTCCTCCTTATCCAAGGACATGAGATTTCTTTGTACTTTCATATCAGACAATACAATAAGCTATCATTCTGGCAATCCTGCAAGAAAAAAATTCTCACAAAGTTTCTATCCTGCTCACAGACCTGCCTCAAAGCCTACTGCAGAATGCTCTGGACTACATCTCTACTTCTGGGGATGAAACAGTGCCAGGGATCATTCTTTGACATAATTATTTTAGGCTTTTTCAGTTCAAAGGAA